ACAGAAATACAATGTAAACAACAGAACTTTCACTTGCAAAGTTGCAATAACCTCCAATTTCCAAATCAGTAGCAGTCGTACGCTACTACAACCCGAGAGTCTCGCACCAACACAGGCGCTCAGCTGATTGCGGCTTCGTTCTCAACGACACGCAGTTGCCAACTAATGTATTTTTTAATTTAAATCAGAGCAAGCAGCCACTATAGAAAGTCATGAAAGAAATTATACGCATGAATGAACTAGGAAACAAAGAGAATGTATTACATTATCAATGAATATACTTTTATTAGGATTACGCCGTAGTATGAATGAAATTTCAAACATATATGAAATCAAATTGGTGATGTCAAACTTTAGCTTTATATCAAAGGAATTTTGGAAACGAATGCGAGCGCAAATAAATTGATATATTGAGGAATATTTAAAGGTTGAAAACAACTCTTCAAAGATGTTTGAAGACCTAACTAAAATCTTTATAATGACTCATTGGTAAATAGTTATGTCAACAAAAAGGATTCTATGGAAAATACCCGGACGCATAGAAAATTTGCTCTAATGGGAAATAATTGCAGTAACTAAAATATTTCAATATTATCGTGATTCAATGACAAATTTATCATCCATCATTATTATTGTTTATTGATAGATTATTAATTGATCAGACGGGATACAGACTTAACATATGGGTGCTTGTGATAAAGTTGTACTATCCATTTATTATATAATTTATACCAGAGTTAATATATAATTTTGCGTTCCAAAAAAGGACATTTGTTATTCCTTTTTTGTTTTAGAGAAAAAACCTTGAGAATGAAAATTATAGATAAAAGTAACGCCTCGTTGCTTTGAACTGAACTTTCACATATTTCTCAACTTGTTCACCCAACCAAAAACTGTCCCATATAATAATTTCATAGATAAAACAGAAGGGAAAGCAAGAAGCGGCGTTTGGAAGACATTTTTACTGCAGCAACAGCACAGAAAGCAGTACAAGCAACTTTTTATTTCATAATTTTATTTACGAGGCAAAAATGAATAATTTAATGCTATTCCTACCTGAGACATGAAATACAACGAGCGTGTACAACGGTCAAGTGATTGGAATGCTATGACTATGCACTTTAAGCAACATTTTTTGCTGTCCGAGTTTTTACATTGAAGAAAATATATTAATAATTATGTTGTCCATATTTTTTAATTTTAAATATTACAAGTAAAACCTTCTAAAGGAGGAAATTTCTGAATACCATTACGTGTACATATGGTAGATGTAACAAAACAGTTATTTAAAAAATACAGCAGTTAAATAAAAATATATACAACTTGAAAAACGTAGATTTATGCCTGAGTAGATTAAAGTCACACGAAAGAAGTCAAAATAAATTTCTTCTCGTTCAAGATTTTAGGCCAAGAAGAGCTAATTTTGAAATAATATTCTTATCACCCCTGTTCCAGAAGTAAATGTATTCAGCAGGGTCAAGCGTTTAAATATTCAAATTAAGTACACTTGAGATTAGCAGTTGATACTTCATCACAAGGTGCTCACTATTATTATATCAGAACACAAAAAATACTGAATATTTTCAGTATATCCCACACAGGATTTTTCGCAAATCATACTCTGATTTATGACATTTGTTCTGAATAACATGAAAATGTTCGTAAAATTGATATGAGTTGAATTGTATTCAAGCCAATAATGATTGATGAAAGTGGGGATCAGGATATTCAATTCTCGCAGCCTCAATAACGTGAAAATTTCAATAAGTCAACAGAAATATCAACAATAACAACTAAGCGATGACGATTTTACAAATAATGTAATGCGAATGATTTTAAACGATAATGACAATGAGAATTAAAACAACTTAATAATATGACATATAAAAGGACTTAATAATAATGACGATTATAAAATTTTTTAGATTACTTTAATAGAAAATAACATATATATAACGATGATATTCATAAGTTATTTATGGAGAAACCTGGGCGCTGGTGATGACGTCATCATAGGACTAACAGGGGAGGTAATACAAAAAATGGTGGTGATGAATGTAAAAAACTGTAAAAAGGTTTAAAAAAAAGGTAATTAAGTAATGATTGCCGCTTTATGAAAGTTGCATGTGTACAAATAAAACCATCTAGGGGAGTTCGTTGTACACTCATTATTTAAGTACAATTACATTGTACCGTACAGTGACATTGTAGAGTAACAGATTACTGTTATTAATTCACTATTTTCAAGTTGCGTCGATTTAATAGCAATAATTAAATTCCCGAACTCACTATTATACATTTATCACATATTTTATTTATAATATACATTTATTAACAAACCAACGAAGGTATTTACCATAGCGTTTAATTAAAAGGAGCACCTATGTGTGGGGCATTATAAAGGCAATAGAAAAATAAATATTGCATTATTATCAAAGAAATTATGTTGGAATTAGCGAAATTACATTAAGTGGGTCACATATAATGTTATAATAATAACATATGTGTACTAGATATGTGCAAAGAATATGAATTTCAAGCTTGAAAATTAGATGGAATTTTTATTCTTCATGATAATCCAAATTTTATAAATTTTTCAAACCCCTTTTCAACATCATCACATAGACTGAATTTTTAAAGAGCAAAATAGCAATCGCCAGTTCTAGATATTCCGGAAATTTTGGTCAATTTTTATCTATAATTGCGATCGAAAGTTTTTGGTAAATAAGAAATCAAAATAACAGGCCAAGTACCGACGAATTGCAAAGAATTTCAGGGTTGAATTTGAAGCCTGATAAGATTAAAAAAATATATATATACTTAAATAAATGAATAAAAATAACGAGGTCGCATTCAAACACATTTACATACAATTGTTGGGACACTTTGATGAACTATTCGAACTAGATCCTAATTTTTTATGATGCAATAAATAATATTTAAATCTAAAACTCCAAGAAAATGAAGTATTGACTAAAATAATAAATAAACATTAAACCTTCATGGTTAATCAATTAAAATAGACATAACATAACATAACATAGTGATGTCGGCGCTGCAGTGTAGGCCTGATGTGGCCTGTCGCCGATTCTTTTCCTTTTCGTGCCTTGTTCATAGATCTAAACTCGTGTCATTTGACCGGATCTTTTCATGACTGGCGATAGTACATCAACATATCTTATCTGACGAGACATATCAACATCTTTTAAAATGTATTGTAATCAACTTGAGTACCATCATTAGTGCGGTAATCAACCACACAGTTAACATTTATCTTTATATTAACTTATGTTAAATGAATTCTGTACTCCACTACAAAGTTGATGAATGAATTCTTTACTTCATTACGAAGTTGATGAGTTACTTTCTTAATATACTACGAAGCTGATGAATGAATTCCTTATATCATTACGAAGCTGATGAATGAATTCGATACATCATCTTTCCATTCTGCCGCTGAACAATGAATGTCTCGACATTAACTCCGCACTTTATGAATGAAGATGCAAAAATGTTATAACTACACGAATCAATAATAAAAAATCTTAATATGCATGAACGTGAATAAAACATAAATTTGGTACTTGAATGTGAATGAATATTACTACATTTATGTGAATCGATTATTTAGTGTGTACATTATAATTAGACTAATGCACATTCATGAATGTTACACTGATGGCAAATATGGATATTGGCTGCATTTGAGTGAATGAATGTACCAGAGCTAGATTAGTAGTTAAATGAATGTATGAACTGCATGCAGCGAGGAAGTTACGGAAAAAAATTGTTGAGGCAATTTATTTTCCCCATAAAAATGACGGTGACAAAACGTTTATTAAGTGTTGATTTCATCAGAAACAAAGTTCAATCAACGTTATTTCAACATCAGATGCAGAGGGGTGTGAAGAGTAGCAGCTCTAACTAGGATCGGCGTTACTAGAGCAGCTAGCAGCACTAGGAAGCATTTACGGTCACTAGATGCTTAGTGAAATTATTAGGTACACTGCCATCAGGAATGGTAGCGCCATTCCTGATGGAACTTGTCGTAAGTACACTGTCATTCCTGATGAAACTTGTCGTAAGGACACTGTCATTTCTGATGAAACTAGTCGTAAGTACACTGTCATTCCTGATGGAACTTATCGTAAGTACACTGTCATTCCTGATGGATCTTGTCTTAAGTACACTGTCATTCCAGATGGAAAACTTGTCGTAAGTACACTGTCATTCCTGATGGAACTTGTCGTAAGTACACTGTCATTCCTGATGGAACTGGCCGTAAGTACACTGTCACATTTATCAGAGTTTGTACACTTCTTTTCGATAAATGTACGTTTTATTTCAGTTCATAAGATTCATGCTTTCTATAATTGCAAATTTATTGCACTTGGTAATGTCACAAAGTTTGTCTGTACCATAAACTTGACTCGTAATTATCTTTATTATATGAAATAAATAGATCTTGATGAGCCGATGGTTAAATTTTAATTTATTAAAAGATAACCTCATCAATAACATTTACTTAAATAAATTCAAGAAACTGTTAAAAACAAAATTTAAGAAATCACTGAAGATCTCATTACCAAAAATTTATATGTAATTCCGACAAGATAAATTAAATTAATAAAAAGTTATGAACTAAATTGTTAAATAATAAATTATGCAATTTTTCGCCAGAAGGCCAAGCCCACAAAAAATATACACCAGCAATAAAACTGCTGGCATACTGTATATTATATATATGCAGACATATTTTATTGGCAAAAAGTGCATTTTAACTACACCCGGCATTTTTAGCCAATAAACTCCATTTCTAGCTAAAAACTGCAGTTTTAGCAAAAAAATTATAGCAAAAAAATCTACCCTTTTATAGAGAAAACTGCATTATTGGCCAAACGGCATTTTCAGCCAAAAAAATTAATTTCATAAAAAACCTTCTTTATGATGATGATGATGAGAGAGGAAAATTATCTGAAGATAAGAGCAGTAGAAAGCAATTAGTTTTTAGTGAAGTGCCAGCGCTGCGTAAGGACGGCAGCGTCGCAGCGCTCGGCCGTGACGCTGCCGTGACGCGCGCTGTCCGCGCACAACTCCTGCGTCGCCGCCTTCAGCAGCCGCTCCCCTCCTGCACGCTCCCACTTCTGCACGGGGTTAGGGTTAGGGTTAGGGTTAGTCAGGGTTAGCATCAGAGCAGGATTAGAACAAACGGTTCAAGCTTAGGGTCAACGGGTTAATGTTAGAGTCGATGGGTTAGAGTAAGGAACTGGTCATTGTTAGGGTCAAGCGGTCAGGATTAGGATCAGGGTTGATGTCAGCACGTTAGGGTTAGAGTCAACCGGTTAGGGTTAGAGTCAACCGGTCCGAGTTAAGGTCAACCGGTCAGAGTTAGGGTCGAGCGGCCAGAGTTAGGGTCAACCGGTCCGAGTTAGGGTCAACCGGTTAGAGTCAACCGGTCAGAGTTAGGGCCAAGCGGTCAGAGTTAGGGTCGAGCGGTCAGAGTTAGGGTCAACCGGTCCGAGTTAGGGTCAACCGGTTAGAGTTAACCGGTCAGAGTTAGAGTCAACCGGTCAGAGTTAGAGTCAACCGATCAGAGTTAGGGACAAGCGGTCAGAGTTAGGGTCAACCGGTCAGAGTTAGGGTCAATGGATTAGGGGTGGATCAGCGAGTAAAAGTTAGGGTTAAAGGGTCAGGGTTAGGAAAAATGGGTCAGGGTTAGGGTCAGGTGGTCTAGGTTAGGGTTGCAGTCAGGGTTAGGGTTTAGTGGTTAGGGCTATAGGGTCAAGGTTATGGTTACAGGATCAGGGTTAAGGTTAGGGTTAACGTCTCCGCAACACATCTGTATGACAGGTCATCGATATAATTTCATTAATATTAGAATCAATATAAATAAAGCGACTCATTATTATTTCAAGACATCAATAATTAATTTTTCTTTTAACGCAACACAACAACATTTATGAAACAGCCTTCAATATTAGTACCATGATATCAACAATTTCAGGGATGAAAAACTGCTAATAAGTCTGGAAAGTCACATTTGCGTATAATAAGGAAATAATATATAACAATGAAATAATATGTACAATTATTAAATGAAGAGGAATAGAAAGATAATGATGGATGTGCACAATTAATGAATTAAATGTATAGTTATAATTAGTATATCGACGTACCCACCTGGAGGGGGTGGGTCAGAATAACCCACCAGAAGGGGTGGGTCAGAATAACCCACCTAGAGGGGGTGGGTCAGAATAACCCACCAGGAGAGGTGGGTCAGAATAACCCACCAGGAGAGGTGGGTCAGAATAACCCACCATGAGGCACAGCTCCCTGTGCTTCACGAGGCCGTCCAGCGTCACCGTCCACTCCTGACCACCATCATATATATAACCGTTGTAATGGTTTAATAATAATAATCATAATTATTATTATTATTATTATTGTTATTATTATTATTATTATTTTTATTATTTTTATTTTCATAATGTTTATTTTAACCCATTTTTTAACAAGCGTCATGGGGACCATATGTTTATGGGGATAGCCGAAGTAAAGCATTAAATGGTAAAAATTATTATTTTAAACATTTCATAATGGTTTTGTAACGATTTTTAACAATGTTAATCTTGACACCTAGAGCATTGCTATAGTTAACCATTTAATGGTAAAAATTATTTTGTGTTTTTTTCGAAATGATTTTAAATTTTTTTAACCAGCGTCACTATTCACTCCTGGAGACCGTCATAGTTAATCATTTAGTGGTTGAAATGAAACTTTGTAATATATATAAAAAATACAATTTCTAGTGATTTTAACGAAAGTGTCTTCCACCCTCGAAGATTTATTAATATGTGAGAGGGAATTACCTATCGTGAAATAGGTTTAAAAATACAAACAGGATACTCACAGGATAAAACAGGATAGAAACAGGATACAAATATTTCGCTACCGTTAAGAGATAGCAGACGTGCAAGTCATCGGGGGTGTGCGTGATACGAAGTTTATGAACGACAGTTTCTACTACAATTATTAGTACATATATTTAATGATCTACATGTATGTATAGATTTGTATATCGTTAATAGATCATGGGATTCAAAATCCGCAGACTTTACATAACCTTTTTACGTATAGTTGATTATGATCTAATATTGGTGTAGTCTAAAATTTGTTAGCTTGAAAATTCATCATTACATTTCTTAGCAATAATTCCATCGCTAAATATTTTGAATATAAAACAGGAATATTTCATGGAAAGTATGTATACTCTAACATTTCACAAATAAATGTTAGTAATAGATTTTGTTATAAAAATTCACTCGTAAAATCGAAACCAATAAGAAAATCTGAAAATAAATTGGAATTAAGTTACACTTACCTGATTTCCCCCGTTGCCATGGCACGTGAAGATGCCTACGGTGCCCTCGGAATGGTGCCCGAGGGTATCTAGACACTTAAGACCTTGTTTGAAAGACCCCACGGTCTGATGCCCTCCGTCAGGGGTCTTAAGTTCAGGGTACACGGTCTCCAGATACCAGCGGAAGCTGCGGCATGACAGCTGCCTGCGCAGTTCTAGTCGACTCTCAATGCTGGAAAAAATTTAAATTACAAACTAACATTTTTTATTTCAAGCAAAACGTAATTAAATTACACAATAACAATTTGTATTCAAGCAAAACATAATTAAGAATATTTTTTAATCGGCATTATTGATGGTCTTTGCGAGCCAAACTGCGCTGCCAATAAAAATATTAATAACTTAACAAAAAGTCAATTTCTTTCCCTCACCTGCCACGCCTGATATATTATTTTCACAAGCCGCACTGCGCTACCGATAAATGCATAATAATTTTAGGATCTAACTTAAAATTAAATTAAAAACCAATCTATTCACTCACATGCCTCGCCTGATATATTATCTTTGCAAGCCGTGCCGCGCTACCGATATATGCATAATAGTTTTCGAAAATTAAATATATTATAATTTAATTAAAAACCAATCTTTTCACTCACTTGCCATAATTGATGGTCTTGGCAAGCGGCACTGCGTTGTAGTAAAATTTCTTGTAGTCATCCATCCAAACCTCTGCGGCTCGTCGAGTGTTGCGGGCGAAGACGTTGCCGGAGCCCCCAGGGAAGCTGTACGGGTGCTGCTTCCGGAACACGTGGCCTACCCGCGAGCACGGCACGATCTCCAGGCTGCCGCCGCACTGCCACACCCGGAAACTGATTTCTGCGAAAATTTTTATCAACTAACCAGTTTTATCATTAAAACAAAATTATATTTACGACTATTTGATTTTATTCGATCGTCGGGAGATTATATTTCGGGGGAAAGTCTTTTACACGGCACGATCTCCAAGCTACCGCCGCACTGCCACACCCGGAAACTGATTTCTGCGGAAAAACTTTCTCAACTGACCGGTTTTCTTCACTAAAATAAAAAATCTTTCTCAAGTGACCAGTTTTTTCATTGAAATAAAATTATATATACGGGTAAATGATTTTCTTCGATTGTAGGGGATCAAATTTAGAGGTAAAGTTTTTTACACGAAACGATCTCGAGGCTGACCGCACTGAATAAATATCATATATTTGAGAGGAATTAACAGTAAATAATAACGAAGAAATCTACAACAATTAAAGCAGATTTCAATTGTATTTTTTTAAATTAATTTTTATTTAATTGGCAGAATACGATATATATTTAATTGAGCTCTACTTGAGCGTTAACTCGCTCTCTATACGAGATTGATTCCTATCTTTCTATATCACGGACGAATTTAAGCCCCAATCAACGTAATAAATAAATTAAATATTGCATCATTTATTACTAAATTAAGTAAGTAATTGTACGCACCGAGGTTCTCGCCGCCCCAGATGTCCATGTCCATGTCGTACTTGCCGAGCTTCTCGAAGTATTGCTTGTTGATCATGAACAGCCCCCCGGCGATCATCGGGGTTCTGCACAGCAGGGTGTTTTTAACATTTAGATGCATTATTAGCATTCAGACATTGTGATCTTAGCATTCAGATGCATAATTAGCATTCAGACATTGTGATCTTAGCATTCAGATGCATTATTAGCATTCAGACATTGTGATCTTAGCATTCAGATGCATAATTAGCATTCAGACATTGTGATCTTAGCATTCAGATGCATAATTAGCATTCAGACATTGTGATCTTAGCATTCAGATGCATAATTAGCATTCAGACATTGTGATCTTAGCATTCAGATGCATAATTAGCATTCAGACATTGTGATCTTAGCATTCAGATGCATAATTAGCATTCAGACATTGTGATCTTAGCATTCAGATGCATAATTAGCATTCAGACATTGTGATCTTAGCATTCAGATGCATAATTAGCATTCAGACATTGTGATCTTAGCATTCAGATGCATAATTAGCATTCAGACATTGTGATCTTAGCATTCAGATGCATAATTAGCATTCAGACATTGTGATCTTAGCATTCAGATGCATAATTAGCATTCAGACATTGTGATCTTAGCATTCAGATGCATAATTAGCATTCAGACATTGTGATCTTAGCATTCAGATGCATAATTAGCATTCAGACATTGTGATCTTAGCATTCAGATGCATAATTAGCATTCAGACATTGTGATCTTAGCATTCAGATGCATAATTAGCATTCAGACATTGTGATCTTAGCATTCAGATGCATAATTAGCATTCAGACATTGTGATCTTAGCATTCAGATGCATAATTAGCATTCAGACATTGTGATCTTAGCATTCAGATGCATAATTAGCATTCAGACATTGTGATCTTAGCATTCAGATGCATAATTAGCATTCAGACATTGTGATCTTAGCATTCAGATGCATAATTAGCATTCAGACATTGTGATCTTAGCATTCAGATGCATAATTAGCATTCAGACATTGTGATCTTAGCATTCAGATGCATAATTAGCATTCAGACATTGTGATCTTAGCATTCAGATGCATAATTAGCATTCAGACATTGTGATCTTAGCATTCAGATGCATAATTAGCATTCAGACATTGTGATCTTAGCATTCAGATGCATAATTAGCATTCAGACATTGTGATCTTAGCATTCAGATGCATAATTAGCATTCAGACATTGTGATCTTAGCATTCAGATGCATAATTAGCATTCAGACATTGTGATCTTAGCATTCAGATGCATAATTAGCATTCAGACATTGTGATCTTAGCATTCAGATGCATAATTAGCATTCAGACATTGTGATCTTAGCATTCAGATGCATAATTAGCATTCAGACATTGTGATCTTAGCATTCAGATGCATNCCTAAGGGCACGTGGGGTTAGTGAGGGGACCTGGGGGCACGTGGGGTTAGTGAGGGGTCCTGGGGGCACCTGGTGTTAGTGAGGGGACCTGGGGGCACGTGGGGTTAGTGAAGGGTCCTGGGGGCACGTGGGGTTTGTGAGGGGTCCTAACGGCACGTGGGGTTATTGAGGGGTCCTTGGGGGTCAGGTCACTATGACACTAGGTGCTTCAGTTTGTGTCACCAACCAAAGAACCCACCTGATGGACACAACGCACCTCATGGACGCGGGCCAGCAGCGGCTGCAGCCACTGGACGTTGCACTCGCAGTGACTGTCCAGGAACGTCAGCACCGACGCCGTGGCCGCCTCCGCTCCCCGCACCCGTGACCGCATCAGACCTGCCCGTGACATGCCCATGACATGCTCGTGACGTGCCCGTGACATGCATGTGACATGCCCGTGACATGCCCGTGACATGTCCGTGACATGCCCGTGACATGCATGTGACGTGCCCGTGACATGCCCGTGACATGCATGTGACATGCCCGTGACAGGCCCGTGACATGCATGTGACATGCCCGTGACTTGCCCGTGACATGACCGTGACATGCCCGTGACATGCCCGTGATGTGTTGGTGACATGCCCGTGACGTGCATGTGACGTGCCCGTGATGTGTTGGTGACATGCCCGTGACGTGCATGTGACGTGCCCGTGACGTGCATGTGACGTGCCCGTGACGTGCATGTGACGTGCCCGTGACGTGCATGTGACGTGCCCGTGACGTGCCCGTGACGTGTTAGTGACGTGTTGAGGTGCTGCATTATGGTGACGTGTAGTGCTATAGTAATCAAACCTGCTCATGACACGTTGTGACGTCTTGTAGTGATGATGTGGTGAGGTGTGTTATGGTAGTGACGTGGTAGTACAGTAGAGTACAAAAAAAAAGAAGCACTAAAATAAGTACAGTACAGTAGAGAATAGTTAGACCTCTGTTCTCCAGTTATGACCTATGAACATTGTTATTTTGGCCATTAAAAATAACAATACGTAGAGTTTACCAAGAAAATTGGACAAAGAATGATAATAAATATGGGAAAATTAATTGTACGTCGTTAGAAACATTTAAAATAATAACAATAATGGTTGAAAAATATGAAATTAATTTCAAATGTCATACGAATCTCTAATCCGTTTCGAATATCTTACGAATTTGTTAAGAATTTTAGATCAATTACAATTTTTCATTAGTTTGTCATCTACATCGGGATCTTATATTTTGTTTTCATTTGGGATTTTTTTAGATTTTTGAGCCGAATTACAAATTGGAGGAATAGCGCTGTCGAGCCATACCTTCTCGCCTAGAGGAATAGCCATACCTTCTCGCCTACAAGAGTAGAGGAATAGCCATACCTTCTCGTCTACACAGTAGAGGAATAGCCATACCTTCTCGCCTACAAGAGTAGAGGAATCGCCATACCTTCTCGTCTACACAGTAGAGGAATAGCCATACCTTCTCGTCTACACAGTAGAGGAATTGCCATACCTTCTCACCTACACAGTAGAGGAATAGCCATACCTTCTCGTCTACACAGTAGAGGAATAGCCATACCTTCTCGTCTACACAGTAGAGGAATAGCCATACCTTCTCTTTTAGTGTTCCGCAGCACGCGCACCTTCTGTATCTTGGCCAGCTCCGCTCCATCGGACGCTGTCGAAGGTATGGAATAAATGATATATATAATATACATTTTAAATAGAATAAATCTAATATATATAATAATTGAAAGCACTTAACTAATAATTACTCGGGAGCACTAATACAACGTACAGTACCAAGTAGAAATAAAAAATAAAATAAGTGCAACTAATCATGTAAACTCTTTAGTTTCTTTCTGTCGTCAATAATTCTGCTGGCGCTTTAAATTTTGGTTATATTATTTTATGTATACGTCATTGCTAAACTTATTGTACCTGTAGAGAATATTTTATGAAATCTTCATTCCTGAAATGAACGGTATCGGTGATTCGGTGATATGGTGCGATACAGGAATGCGATACAGGATGTCGCATCGGCGATATGATGTGACGCAATAGTCGATTTTCTTCCCATTATGTATTCGTAGTTTATTAAATTTAACATATTTATTTATCAAGCGCAGTCGGATGAAAACTATTGGCAATATTTGTGTTCGTTTTATATATTTATACATGATATTGATAATAATTCGCTGTTTCACACATCCTTCAATTGATAACTCTACGGTATTGGCAACCACTATTTAACTATCTACCGCGAGAATATCTCACCCTCACCTTGTAAATCAGTTATAGCATTTAACTATACACGCAAATTTTACCAAAATTACAAGACAGCGCTAAAAAATTGAAAGAATTTATGGTTCAATTAAATATTTTCCCACGCACTCAAACAAGGTCCGTAATAATTGTTTTCACGGGAATCGGAAGCTTATTTTTGCACAGAATTAGGCCTCAAATTTTGATCGCAAATCAGCTTAAGAGGCCGCATTCTTCCATTGCATTCTCATTCGATTTCGACTCGAAAAAAGTTTCGTATGAATATAATTATATTTTCTCGAGATCATAAGTTGGATTCTATGAGTGACAGGATGTTTGCGTCCTATTTGGGATGAGGTCCTATAATAAAAAGGACTTATTGAGAGTACTTGGCACAGCAAGCCGCGCACGGCCTTAATTAGGACCTTACTTTCTTAATGAGGTGAAAAGAGAGTATATATAAAAGTAATAATATTGATAAGTGGGCCACCCTGCCACTAGCACGGTTATTATGGACTACCTGCCACTAGCAAGGTTAATATGGACGGCCTGCCACTAGCAAGGTTAATATAGACTACCTGCCACTAGCAAGGTTATTATGGACTACCTGCCACTAGCACGGTTATTATGGACTACCTGCCACTAGCACGGTTATTATGGACTACATGCCACTAGCACATGCCACTAGCACGGTTAGTATGGACTACATGCCACTAGCACGGTTATTATGGACTACCTGCCACTAGCACGGTTAGTATGGACTACATGCCACTAGCAGGGTTATTATGGACTACCTGCCATCAATTTGCTAAAAATCATGTCAAAGGACATAAACAGAAAAGGAAAGTGGCCTTAAATCACTCACCAATCAATTTTGTCCAAAAAGGACAAGAAATAAAGTGTCACTGAGTCGCTCGCAATCAACAGGCACTACGCGAAGAACAGCTCTAGTACAACAGACGTTCATGTATCAGAAAACAATTCCCTGGTGATTTACATTTTTACCTCAATTTACAGACTACTTGAAAGCTCTTACAAAGGAGAACATATTGTACTCAATCAACTGTCGTGCATCATCGACAAATTACTGGTGGTGGTAGCTCATTAGTCTGACATATTGCTTATCTATTCAGCCCTAATTATGGATAAGTAGCTCATGATATTCCGAATGTTCCACGTAAAAAAAATCATGAGAAGCTTCCAGATTCCATTAATCAAGAAATCCCGTTATCCATAGATTATTCAAGAAAAGCTGGCACGGCGAGTCCGAATGACCTTCCAATATCATCTAGTACGAGAAACTTATCTATCATTGATACACACGATGCTCGTATCATCAGTCAACGAGCACCACGCACGAGTAGCGCACGTGTAAAAAATGCCACTAAAGCACGCACTAAAATCACTATTTCCAGAATTACTATGCTAACTGGATTAAGGAAATCGTTATTATAGACGCCATCCACAAACACGATGCACAGAATCATTCGAGGCTCGGTTATTAGTGATGCATGAGCGGTGGCCAAATGTCAATCCTGACCGGCGGTTGAAAATTCCAAGCTTTCGTGTTTTTTTGTAGAGAAAAACATTCATGCGATAATTGTCGCGGCAAATTTAGGTTATTTCCATAACTTCTAGACATTCATTTATGGCTCTGTAACTGATAAGAATTGCACAACTGATAAGAATTGTATACATGTCATGAATTGCACAACTGCCAGGATTTTCCCTAAAACTGTGAAATGTTAAGACGCATTTAAAATCACATGTAAATGTTTTCCATTTTATTCATGGATGAAGCTGATATTCGTCGTGTAGTCGTTACATGATGTGTTGAAAATGTCCACTTAATCACGCACATGCACATTTCTAAAATTTATAATGATTAAAGTAAAATTATTAGATAAATCAGATAATAATTATGAAATGAATAAGAAGGTTCTGATATTGAAAAAAATGCGATCGTCATGATGAAGTAATTAAAGCAGTCGCGATTGTTACGATAAAGTAATTAAAGCACTCCAAATCGTCACGATAAAGCAATTAAGGCACTCCAAATCGGCACGATAAAGTAATTAAAGCACTCCAAATCGTCACGATAAAGCAATTAAAGCACTCCAAATCGTCACGATAAAGCAATTAAAGCACTCCAAATCGTCACGATAAAGCAATTAAGGCACTCACGATCGTCACGATAAAGCAGTTAAGGCACTCACGATCGTCGCTGAAGTCGTCGACGAGGACGATCTCCTGGACGAGGTGTGGCGGGCTGCGGTTCAGCACACTGAGCAGAACACGTCTTAGTTATTATTATTATTATTATTAATATTATTATTACCATTATTATTATTATTAGTATTACTGATTTCTTGATTAAGAAGTAAATGCTAATTTATAAGTTATTAGTCATTGCCTATTATTAATTTCCTTTCAAATGAAATGATTGGAAAATGATCATTTATTTAATTTTTGAACCGTATTTTAGTAAAGTGAAAATGCTCAATTGAATCATTTTGGTTTAAAAACTCCAAGTAGTTGGTAATAAGTTGTAGTAGTTATGTTATTTTGCACAGATTCATAACCTCTCTCCATACTCCCAGGTTCATAACTTCTCTCTATATTCCCAGGTTCATAACCTCTCTCCATATAACCAGCTTCATAACCTCTCTCCATACTCCCAGGTTCATAATTTCTCTCCATACTCCCAGTTCATAACCTCTCTCCATACTCCCAGGTTCATAACTTCTCTCCATACTCCCAGGTTCATAAGCTCTCTCCATACTCCCAGGTTCATAACCTCTCTCCATACTCCCAGTTTCATAACCTCTCTCCATGCTCCCAGGTTCATAACCTCTCTCCATACTCCCAGGTTCATAACCCTCCTACCTGACGACGGTGCGCAGCAGCGTAGAGCGCGCCTCGTTGTGGAAGGTGATTATGACGGACGTGGCTGGTAATGAGAGGTGATCCCAGGTAATGCTTCGGCACCTGACGACATTACCCATTAATTACATACTTATTACTCGCTCACCCAATACCGTGTGATTTCATTTAACTCTCATTAAATAAAATAATTATTGATTAGTTAATATTATCTAATTATTGATTGAATATAAATTAATTAATTTTGGTGACGTGACGGCATGTCCACATCAACAATCATTAAAGTGGCAATCATCGTAATGTTAGTATTCAGATGAAAATAAAAAGCTATAAGCTTGAGTGGTGGGAAAACAATTATTATACAGTATATTATATGGAACCACCGTAATACTGGAAAAAGTGTTATTGCCAGGCACTTCAGGAATGCTGGGAATCAAAAGAATGCTGAGAAGTAAAGCAAACTGGGAATTTCGAGAATACTGGGAATCACATTACTACTAGGAATGACAAGAATGTTGGGAATCGTACGCATGGAATCTCAACAACGTTTAGAATAAAAAAAAAACATTCCGGGAATGTCGGGAATGTCTCACATGGCATTCCTGGTGTCGGGAATGGCTCTGTTGCTGGCAAGTCTGTCGCTCTCGGCTTGGTTGAACTTATTCCTCGAGTAAGCGTCAGCGCCTGGCTTCACGGTTGCCGCTCTTATATACGCCTTCTCATCTAAAAACTCTCCCGTGTTATCGTTATAAGAATTCCCAAATATGCTGGGAATTATGTTAAATTTATTGAACTTGAATTTAGAATGTGTAGTTTTCTCGAGCTGCGAGAGTTTAGAGGAGGAAGTGTTGTAAGAGCCATTGTAGGTATGGCGGTCGATGGCAACTCCAGCATGAGGGCTGTGACGTGGCAAGCGCTCATTGGCTGACGCTGGCTGCTGCAACCGCAAAGCCAAATTTTCATTCTGAAAAAAAAAGTTTAAAAATTTTTAAAATAAAGTTATTTACTTTGAAGACCGAAGGAAAGTGTGTGATATTTGAGAAAAATTTTTGTGTGTTAAAGAATGGTGATCGTGATGAGGAAAAAAGAGGGCAATAATATTGTGCCACAGTATCGTGATGCAAGAAGAGTAATTGTGCAACGGTATCGTGATGAGAAAAAAGAGGGCAATTGTGCCACAGTATCGTGATGCAAGAAGAGTAATTGTGCAACGGTATCGTGATGAGAAAAAATGGGGTAATTTTGAGCAATGAGAAGTCGCCGGAATATATAGAGCAATCAATGGTAAGGTATTGGACTTGACGAAAAAACTACATGTAATTATGGCGCGGTAGCAGCGGCGTAAGGGCGGCTTACTGGCGGCCATTGCGCGTTCTCAAGACAAACGAGCTAATTTATGACCTCGCGTGAGGGCTGACAAAGAAAACACGTCAATGGCATCTATAAAGTCCCATTCATGCTTCTAAATCTAAAAAGGTTGTTTCAATAAAAAACTTGAATTCATTTTGACATGAAGCTGTTTGCAACTTCAGCGTCCAATTTAGTTTTTGCTCATCGATTTCTTCTGAAGCTATTCACGGCCAACTCGCGCGCTTCTTTGAATTATTAAATTATTGACCAATCAATAATTTAATTATTGATCAACCAATTATTCATTTATTGATAAACCTATTATTCAATTATTGATTCAAAAATCAATTAGTAATCAATCAATTATTCCTATAGCAATAGTGAGTCACATTTAATGAAAATCAATCCACGTATGCAAAAAACTGAAATAAAAAGCATATTTTTATTTCATACGGCACACAGAAAGTTGATAATATACAAATATTCATTCAAACAAAATCAAGTTATGAATGGAATGTATCCGTATTGTTCACAATCAACGACTCTAGAAAACTAATCAATTCAGACATAAACGAGCTAAAAATAGAAAGTATACAGATTCTTTACACGTCACACATAGCGTCTTGAAAACTAATTCATTCAGACATAAACGAGCTAAAAATAGAAAATAAACAGAATATTCACACGTCACACAAAGCGTCTAGAAAATTAATCAGTTCAGAAATAAACGAGCTAAAAATAGAGCGCACCAAATTGTTCGCACGTCAATGACAGGGCACTTCGATCGCCTCCAACACTCAAAGAAATGAGGGAAAATGTCCAAATTGCGGTGCACATTTGATTTTTTGTGGGTAATTCTGACCCGGTTAGACCCGGCAATATATAGGGCGTATCAATGCTACGAGCGGAAAGTGAGTCGCGGTATGAACAATATCTGAGTGAACGATTTAAAAGTCGTTCGAAATAGTAAATATCAAGTCTACATTGTGCACATTTGACGGCAATGCTAAGCGTCGGAGTGACAAGCATTGTAATAATGTTTTATGTGTTTACGCTATAATTATATCGTTGATATATGTTCCAGATGATAGGGATATAATTATATCATTGATATGTTCCAGATGATAGGGATATAATTATATCATTGATATGTTCCAGATGGTAAGCTATATTACGAGAAAACCTCACGTGCATTGTTATGACATGTCTGCTCGTACCAAGAAACAATAACTCATTTTATTAGTAAAGTCATGAATGTATTGCGAGCGCACGGCTCCTATATATAATATATGTAGCATTATTAATAGGCATCAGGCTTGGTTATTATTATTAGTGATCAATTTTTCCAGCGATGCTCTCCAGAAACAACATTGTAGATAAACTAGCGAGTAGATATCAAATACGGCTTCAATTAAGATTAGTTATTAGTAATGCGTTGCAAATACGACGAAATTAACACACTTCCGAGAGGTTATTCCTTATACATCACAGCAAGACAGCACAATCATTCACCATATCGTTATATCATTATTAACTTCATCTCTATGCACGCGGCATAGACGATATCGCTTATGCATCGATGTTAATATATTATAGTTATATTGCTCAGACCGAATATTAATATTTAGTGTGAAATAATTATCACTTAGGATAATCTAGTGTGTATACAGAAGACCACAATACACTCCACAGTACACCACAGTACACACCACAACACATCACACGCATCACGCACGTGGATCCAACCATCCGCTCCTATAGCGTCATTGCAACGTCACATTCGTCAAGGTATAAAGTGTTAAGATTTAAGATAACATTTGAAAGTAAAGTTGTAAGTAAATATTTTAAATTCATGCGACCACATTACAGAGATTCTTGGTCATGACAGGCAGCGTTGACTCGGCTACATTAATGTGACGATCTTTCTACACTCAAATAAATGAGTGAGGTTTAGTCAAAATATCGTTGATTTTCGTGTTATTTTGGTGTCATCCTAACCCAGTTTAGCCCAGCGATAAATGGCCTATAAGTGAGACGTTCACTCCGTGCACTTGTTATAAGTAAGAAAGTGTGTCAAGATTTAGACAATATGACCCATTTATTTTATGATTGATATGCAGCATAGAGGTGGCAAATCGATATCTTTTTTCCAGCAAAAAACGAGCCCAGCTCTTCACTTATTTTCATGGCCCGCGCATCGATCATGCCATTCATTTTGCTTACTTAGCAAACGGCTTTGTTCGGCCTCACTTGCCTCGTATTGGCCTTTATATGGCATAGGCTTAATAAGGCTTTATAAAGGCCAGCATGGAACTGTCAACGAATTTATGTGAAAATCCGAGATCCATGAACATTCGAGGTCCATTTGCTGAAAACGTTTCTGTTTTAGTTTGGACGAGTATTATGGAAATCGATCAGTAAACATTGTTTAATTTTCATCATATATTCCATTGGAGCCTTTGCATTGCATAAATTGCATAGGAACCTTCTCTTTATTTAATTTGTTGTCAGAATTTGAGTGGTTTAATAAATTGACGAAATGAGAAGTGGCCTAAAGTCGATTGAAAAATTTTTGTACAGAAGTTAGATATTGATAGGGGATTTGTGAACAGTTGAGCAAATTTTAATAGATGACTAGCCACGTATGCTGAATAGCATGTCAAGAAAATTTTGAAACATACGCTGCAAAAATCAAATTAGGACATTTTTGAACGTGAAAATAAAACAAAACCAAAGATAAAAATTCCGAATACTTTAATTTCTAATAATAATTTAGTTACATTTTGGAATGGCCGCTGATATTTGCCAAGCATTCAGGCCTAACTCAGAAAAAAATTGGCAATATTGTGCAAAATAATGAGACAATTTCTGACCTACAGCACAAGCAGTAAGCGGACGTAGCGGTGATACGTCCATTAAACCAGGCCAAACTTGATCAAAATCACCTACATTAGCGCAAAAAGTATATCGCAGAATGGACAAAGTTCCAATAATTACTCAGAGAGTACCTACGAACCTATTATCTGCACGAAGCTGCTAAACTTTTCGATTCTGGGAACGACATTCAACAAAACGCACGATTCCTCATGAAAAACAGACCGGTTATTGATCGAAAAATTCGTCATTTACAAAATATTTGATCGTATACCAGAAATTATGACCGAAAGTTGCGTTGCTTCATTTTTAACGAGAATTAATGTATATATAGTGGAGCTGACATTGTAGTATCAACTCAAATTTGTATCGATAAGCCTACGAAGTTGAGCACAAGGTTAACTAATAGCGGGATTATTAAAAGTTATTTTAGCTGCTTGAATAAAAGAGAAGAACAAACCAAAACTTAGAGAAGGTGAAAAAGAAGTGCTACACCAATATACCATATATGAACTTATGCGTGTGTTGATTACGAAGAGTATCAAGAGAGGTTGAAGTCGCGGCATGAACGTAGCATGTTACATGTAGGATTAGAAATAAATAGTAGAAATTGGAAAAAATTGGTGAAAGGAAATTGTTTTTGCGCTTATAAATGTGAAGGTGAAAATTAGCGAGCAAGCGCATAAGTACACATTCAATGAATGGGCATAATTGTGTGATGTACATCACACATGGATGAACATCATGTACATCAAACATGGATGAACATCATGTACATCAAACATGGATGAACATCATGTACATCACACATGGATGTACATCATGTACGTCACACATGGATGAACATTATGTACATCACACATGTATGTATATCAAGCATACCGTATCTCACATGGATGAACGTCATGTACGTCACATATGGATGTGCATCATGTACATCAAACATGGGTGTACATCAACCATATCACACATGGATGAACGTCATGTACATCACACATGGATGAAAATCATGTACATCAAACATGGCGCTGAATACTGTAAGGAATTCATTGTATAAATCATCTATAACTTCGCATTCGGCAAAGCATTACCTTTTAAATCCTTGATTCTGGCATACAGATGACAATATTAAAGAACGCCTTCCAGTAATAAACGATAATAAATTAATTGCAAGTGCATCTTACCGAAAAAAAATCATTACAGAGAAAAATTAATCAAATCGCTGTGCTCGCATAATTTATCATGATTATAATTTCATCAAAGTTGAGGTTCATCGTCCAAAGTTCAATAACAATCAACGATAATTCCCGATATGGAACACTACAATTTGCCGGTGCTCTATAAAGTTGTTCGGATAAAATTGCAGGCTTCTGGCACATTATCCGTCATAATCGAAACTTCACGAACAATTGCAGGCTTTTTACATAAGTTGCGGAATTAGCTTAACATTAATCAGGAGGGCAAGCGAAAATGTTGAGTGACCTTCGCGATAATGTGCAGCTCGATCAAAGAATGGGATGACCTCTGCGATAATGTGCAGCTCGATCAAAGAATGGGATGACCTCTGCGATAATGTACAGCTCGATCAAAGAATGGGATGACCTCTGCGATAATGTACAGCTCGATCAAAGAATGGGATGACCTCTGCGACAGTGATTATAAGGCACATACCGATGCAAATATGAAGAATGTTGCTAGACAGTGAAGGTGGATAACATATGAATGTTTACCTTGTCGGCA